ATTAACAGTCCTCAAAACCTCACGGTCAACCTAAAATGTCTCACTGTTATGTTACAACCTCATTGATTAAAATGAGAGGTGATGAATTGGAGCAACACATCTATAGAATGAACACGACAGTTATACGAACAGGCCGACATTAGGGATTGCGTTTTCGGCCAATTGGTGCCCCGTGCGTTTTTCCCTATTGCGGGGTTTAAACCCAACATTTTGTCTTCAATGTCGTCCTTCCACGGTTTCTTCGGGCTTGCGAGCTATACATGTACACTCATGGGGGCGCTTCGTTCGGGGGAAGCCTTGGTAACACAAACACAACAGACAACGATGAAGCAAATTGTCGAAGGAAACATGGATAAAGCTCCATAGACATTACTTTTTAAAACCTAAAGCAATACCAACAACAGCGGTACGACAATGAAACCCACTGGGGACGGGAGATTACGAGATTTTCATTCAATGTTGCTTTTTGTTCGTCACAATTTAAAGTAACATTGAAAATTTGGTGCATAACAGTAAACGCTGTAATGCTAAGTAAATAATCTTTTCAAACCCAAAAAAGCAGACTGCTTAGAAATCAGTCACCAAGGGTTTCAGGACATAGCGGGTTGTTTTGATGCCAAACTTGAGCACATTCTAGAATAACATTCGCATAGCTCAGCCTTCAGGGCGCGTTATTCGCTATACAAGCTAAAAAGCACTCCGTGAGCGCAAACCTCCGCCAAGGCTAAACAAGTCCCCGCCATATTGTCAGTACACCCAAAAGAAATACTCGCATAAATGGTTAAGAATTTTTAAAAATAATCCTGGATCCAGACCCAGCTCCGGATCACTTCTAAAATGTAATCGATTTGTACTTGTACCAAGGACCATCCCTAAACACACGCAAATCCGTCCATAACTTTGTGAGTTATCTAGTTAACAGACAAACCAACGACGATGAAAACATAACCTCCTTGACGGAGGTAATAACAGACCAAGGAACACGTGAAAACTTTCAACCTGCCAGCTTCCTTTCAGCAATTCCGATATACATGTACATACCATCCACCAACCATATGTAAGTTCGAAACACGAAAGAACTACGGGGTATCTCTTCAACTTGACAAATTGGCGGGTGGCGGGCAGCCGACCGCGCCATCACGACCGCTTAAACCAAATATTTAGTCTGTTTTCCCCGCGAAAGTTTCTTTCCTCCGCCGTGCGAGATATCATTCTCTACACGAGGGAGCCAATTAATGCGGCTGTTATTAGCACAGACATGTTGCTTAGCACGGAGAACGCGCACACTCTTGTTTTACCACACTCCCGAGGACATTGCTTTGTGTTTTTCCCATTGTCCCTGTAATATAACATTCTCCCATAGACTAAGCACACAAACCTACCACAGAGGACTGTTTTGAAAAAAAAATACCCAACTCCCAAGGACTGAAAGGATCTGGTGTTCCCCCTTTGTGTGTTGGTCCTCGGGGGATATGTTAAACAAGTACATTACGACACCCGCAAAAAACAAGCAACCAAAAACATAAACTAACAAGGTAACCAGCCTAATCTTTCACGCGATGTTTAATTGCTAGCTTTACATCATGAATTTGCTTAGCTTTATTTCCACTCGGGCGGCACCGTCAAATTAAGGCCCAGGACGAACCTCCCGAATCACACTGTTAATTGAGAAATGCGCATGCACATCATGACAGCTTGTGCTCGGCATTATCATCAGTCTGCGCGTCTATACACACAGTGAGAAGTATTGCTTCCTCAGCATGCGAGTTGCATCCCGCTGAGAACAATAATTTATAACTGATGACTGATTACCGTAACCGTGTCTTCTTCAAGGACGAACGGGAAATATCCACCCAACCAGGCCACGGACACACATTAATTTTGCCATTCAACGGCACTGGAAAGTCTTGATTTATTTATAATTTGGTGGGTTTGTTTGCGTGCTGAATATTTCAAATCGTTTCGGTGCTGGCGCATATAAATGTACGAGATTTTGACAGCCTCTCGAGAATTTGAAGCTGTTTTGAAAACTTGGCTTAGGAAACACTTTTGGAGGGACAACAGTGTTTTATTTAAGGAAGAAAACAATTTTTATTGAAAATCACTACCTACACTCTGGACTCTGGATTTTTTAATGGGGGGAAGGGGTGTAAATACTCTTTTCAAAATGTCTCCGAGAATATTGATTTACTGCTGGAAAATAAGATGGGAGTGTTTTCTGTAGCTTGAGGTTTTCGATATAACTGAGTCATAGATCTTATAGAGTGAGCCGGTAGTCCCGAAAGACGTCTTCGCACTTGCAGCATTACAGAAGTAAATATCAATGCCCTCCTATGTGTCGTAACTCTTTTCAGATTGATGTGAAATGCGAAAGAGAATGAAGTTTTCTGCATGCTCGTTTGTCAGTGAATTTCTGATTCTTTACAGCTACAAGCCTATGGGTATATACATGGTGAAGATTACACAGCATGCTAATCTGATGAAAACCAACAAGAAAAGCTAGAATCAAGAATCAACACACCTTGGAAATTCCTAGTTTTTGAGTAAAATCCATATATCTATTTCGTGATAACCTTGTGGAGACGTATTCACCTATAGAAATTGGTGGAGACGTATTCAATCTTTTGTTCCCTATGATACCCATGTCTCCACAGGGTACCGTGTAACAGATCAGCTAAACAATTCTATATTCTTGTCTTGTTATTGCTTCATCTATTCGCTGTGGTTTTCACTATCGATTTGGTTCCTGCCCTCAATGCACGTGTGTGTCCTCTATTTACACCATAAAAAAACGCGGCTTGTATGTTGTGATTTGGCTTGTTATGTTGTGAGCACCCGAGAATGGACAGTTGTTTACAGGTTACTGTCGTAAACGTCATAGCGTTGACTGTGAACCAGTTTTCAATTTAAAATGGCAACACGACCAGGGAATGATGTGAACGATTCAAGCAGCAAGAAACAACCCAGCTGAAGGTTTTCAACAAACAAAAGTATAAAAAAAAAACAATTTTATTTTGTGAAAAGGACGAAAATAGAAATTTATCAAACAAAATCGCTATAACCACTGTGGTAAAATGTTCCGACTGCACAAAAATAAGCATAGGTATTTTTTTTTCAGTTTGAAATCTCTGAGGTTTTCCTCCTACGCTTGAAAACACACAATATTTGGTATCACTGTCTGCTCTCGAAGGATGTGCGCTCACATCGTTGAGATTAAATTCACAAAAGGTCCTTGGCAGAGAAGAAGAGCTTAAAGAATATTAAATTGAACCGAATAAAGTGTCCTTTGCAAAATAATACAGGTCAACCCGACCTGTGTTTTCTATATAAAGTCCTTGTCAGGGACACTGTGCCGCTTCCCAAGCAAATAAACACTGCAAATACCAAACTGTCTTTGGAGATGCTTTGCCAAAAATGTGAACCTAATGAAATGGGCCTGTACAGTTGATTGCAGGGAAGAGGTGAAAAGATCTTTCAGGAATAATTCCCAACATGCGCAAATGTCAAGCAGGACCGTGACAGACGATCGAGGGGAGGGATTGGCGTAGTGATACTTCAATCTCGGTGACCCAGGTTCGAGTCAAACCATGGGCCAAGTCGTGCGGATTTGGATTTATCCCTCGGATATCTTGTCCGCCTCTAATCTGAACATTTCTGAAACATGAAAAATTGTCTTCACCATCTTCTTTATCTCTTCTTATTCAGGCTACGGTGCATGTGTTATTTGTGAGAACGTTAATTCCTGTTAATGAGCCCTCCAGGAGACATTTTTCGTCATAAGTTATACCTTAGGGGGACATTTCAGTGTCTCCCTAATGTCACAAGTCCTATCTAGAGACAACATTTTAATGTCGCAAATAGGCTAGATCGATTGCTTATGGTCCAGAATGTGAATATACCAGAATTCGCGGGAGTAGGATAAGGGAAATTGGGGTTAGGGGTGATTAAAGTTGGGCAAATTTTGCGCACAGCCCTATAGGAATGTCCCCCTAAGGTACCATTCCCCGTAATGACATTTATTGCTGTCATCAACATACAGAAGTAAAGTATTAATGAATTAATATCCGAGAGCAACTCATAGTGCGTTCATTCACAAACTTCTTTACAAATAACCGACATTTTTTTATGCTTATTAAAGCTATTACATGGAACATACAGTAAAGTCGTGAGCTTTCATTCATGTAAATCTCGATATTGTTCAAATCTACAAAGTTGATTGCAACAAAAATACAATGCCATTAGATGATAATAGGATTTCGATGGGGTTTGGGTGCAGGATTGGTTACCGGTCTTTTTTGGTACTGGTAAAAGAAAAAACAGTGTTTATATTTAAGTTAGTATGACATTTTGAATATATAATCCTTGATATTAGGGTTTGTTCGATTCACCGACGTTATTGTTATAAGAACAGTTTGCTCGGCTCAGGGTGATAGGATGGGAATCGAACCAAGGACCATGTTCTTTATTGTGTACAGATATATCTTAAATCACCCCGGCCGATTTCGAATCCGATATGTTCGCGGGTGCTGAAATTAATGACTTCACACGTCGGCGAAGGGCACAATTCAATTTGGAAACGCTCAGCAGTGTTTGTTCTAGTACCCGAAGATAAATATTCTGGCGTGATGCCTGGTGGTCAGAGAATATGTTGACCCGATTTTTTGCAATCGAATCAACCGAAATCTTTGCGAGACTCTAAGCAAATGTTTAAGAGCAGAGATCGAAGTCGGTGAGATCAGTCACTACGTGTCAGCGTTTGCTAAGTATCAAATGGCCACTCCATCTCGTGGGAGAGTATTTTAGCCATGACCCATAAATATCAAAAGCGAGACGTACAAACTTGTTAAGCGAGAGGCAAAATAAGATACAGGGTATAGGCAAACATATGGTGCGGCTCGTGCTGCCAAAAGCATCTCGGTCCATTAAACGAATCCAGCGCGCACAGGCCATACGCACACAGGCCATATACACGAGGCTAGAAAAAGAAACCAGAATCTTACCTTCTGTCGTGCAATCAGGCGTTTCTCCCAAGCACCATGATTAGTTAGTGTGTTCCAGCAAGTGTCGTGGCCAGCCACTCGTGGAAACTTTATAACCGCGCCGTGGGTCGGCGTTTTCCTTTCCGACGTGCAGTTGGTGTTTAATCATGTGATGAGACGCCGGGTGGTTTGGCAACCGCTTTTGTTTAGCAGTAGAAAAAGCTGCGTAGGCCCACCCATGCGCACGGGCAATCAAGACGTCAACTACTTGGTTATTATTATTATTTTCCCGCGACGACAACGGCTGGCAGGGATTGGGGCGTGCTGTGGTTGTTTTCTCCCAATTGAGACATTCTCATCACTGTTAATCCTCCCTCCGGGGAGATTGCCACCTCCTCCATTCTAGCAGATGAGGCGGGTTGATTTGTTTTCTCACCAGCAGCCGATGGCGGGGATTTGGAGCTTTTTGACGTCGCAATTTACGAGGAAAAAAAACAGTAATCGTAGAAAATGTATTCTTACGTCATTGCAAAGTGGGGGCATCGGTGTAACACCAACGCGCGTCACTATTAAGAGCTTTGTTAGGAATTCAATATCCTTACTGACTATCTTTTTAATTTCATTCTGGTTATAAAATGGAAATTTCCACAAAAGTCCGCAGGCATTGTATCCCAGAAGAGCGAAGAAAACCACAGAGATAAGAGGATGACGATATGATGTTGTTTTGAAGGCGCAGGCAGGAAAAAAGCCGGACTCAAAACTAAGAAATCAGACAAGAACTGCAAACCCAATACATAATTAGAGACGTAGATGGGACTCGAACCTTGGTCACTGAGAAGTGAACGGAAGTTCAACTGACCGAACCTGACTCTCTTACAAAAAAAAATAATCGGCGATATATCCTCCCAATGATAATGACTTTCTATCTACTACGACATTTTATAAACTAATTAGGAACTTGACAACATCAGCACCCAGGAGATACAACATTCCGAAGAATTCTGCGGCCCAGTTGCACGACTGTTGTAAATTTTCCCAACTTTCATCGTGATAAAAAAAAAATTCGCATGACAAAGTTGCTTGTCAAACCTTGCCCGTGTGCAGCCTGGTGTGGGTATTTTTTTTTTTAATCGGCATTAGGGATTAAATATTTCTTACTTAAATATCTTCACGTGCATATCATGGATTTGAACTGCGAGCCAGTTAATGTGCATGTAGGCCTACTTCAAAATTTAATTGCACCGTGACAGTTTCTAAGATATAAATGGAAAACTGCACTTAACCCATGTCAAATTCGTGGTGGGTCTGTCGGCCTCCGCCCGCTTCAAAGGCCTGCAAGTGATGAAGTGACAGGGAACAAGTTCGTGCCATCATGTTTATGTAGTAATAAGTAGAAAATACACGTACGGGAGTCGAAAATGATACAGACCTTGGTTTATATTTGTTTTAGGAACATGCTTAAATGCTCTGACCAAGTAACCCTGTTATTCCACCACCACCTAACCTTTCTACGTGTCCAGCAATATCTTACCTCCATTACTTTTGCGCGTAAGACGTTCCATGAAGGACGCAGCGTGGTTACACCGTAAACGTATTTTATTGCCAGCGGCTTGCAGACATTGAATTCATCAATTCGTAACAAGCGCAGAACAGGAGAGCTCTTCGGTCGTCATGATTTCAATAACGTTCACCTTGAGCCTACAGCTACAAAAGCGATATATCCCATCGACTAAATGGAAATCATTTTTAGAAGGACCCCACACGCACAAAATGAAAGAATGGTTTGAGAATGCTTTATTTTTTATTTATTTATGTTATTTCTTTCTGGTAACGAAACCAAGGATTCCTCAAAAGTACCCTAAGCACTGTAGCTCGAAAGCCTGCAGAAACCTGTAGAGAGAAGACATTACAGTTTTAGAGGTGGGAGGAAAAACCTAGAGGAATATTCGGAGGAAAACCCACGGAATCAGGGAGGGACTGAAGACCCAATCCACATATTGGCCCAGGCGGGATTCGAACCCTGGTCACAGCGTTGGAAGGCGAGTAAAGTACCGCTACGCCAACGTGACTCCTCTTGTAAAGTTTCAATAATTACAGCTAACAAATTAGCTTTCATTGCCTTTGATTTTGTTGAGACGCAACGCTGTACCCACCATCGAATAGTTCCGTAAATTCAATATATTACCCCAGCCATTACCAAACACATTACCCTATCGCTACCTTTTCCTCAAGCCCATCGTTTGGGTAACCCAAACCCCAATCTCAACCCGACTCGATTTCAACCAAATCCCACACCTACCCTTAACCAACCCTCACTCGTGCCTTTGTAGTTAGGGTTAACTTAACATTAACTGTAACCCCTAATGGCTAGCTAAAACCCTAACACTTTTCGTAACCCCACCGTAACATAACTTTAATAATAATAATATAAACATTTCTACCGCGCATTTTCCAAGTAAAATTGATCAAATGCGCCTTACAATAAGAACAATAAAACTTCAAGTTCTTTAAAATTCAATAAAAATACACAAAACCTACAACAATTAAGTCAAATCATGAAGATAAACCGATACGTGAATGCTACTACTACACTTTACCAACACCTTGTTCTCAGTCAAGCCATAAAATAAACCTACCACTTTTGCCCAACGTAAATTTAGAATATTACACGTTCGATTAACCCAAAGGCTAATTTTAGTTTTAAAATTGAACCAAGAGATTGACTGGAGCAGGTTCGAACCTTCGACCACCGGCACACCGTAGCGGTGCTCCACCAACTGAGCTATCCAGTCCCGATGTTGGCGGTTCCCAAATGTGTCAATGTCTTTGTTCAAGAGCTATAGTCAGAAGACATAAAAGCTGTTTATGCCATACAGCCAGGGATCACATATTAAGTCACTATGATCAGGGATAAGTCACCAGGGATTACATACGTCACTATGCTAGCAACATAAGCAATGCTACAAACCTGGGAAATAGCAAACGAGGATCACTCAGAGATGATGCGGCATATTTTTACATCAAGCTTGCCGGTTCAAACCGCACTCCAGTCAATTTCTTGTCATTATTTTAAGTTTTAAGGTTTAGTTTGTGTAAAACTTGACAAGTATAAATCAGTATCATAATCGGGCGGTGACACATACCTCGTACTAATAACAAAATATGTAATTTACTGCACCTTACCGTATGGTTAACCTTACCTTAACTCAAACCCCTTAGTCAGCTAAAACCCTTAAACTTGTTTTCTTAACCTAGCTTTTCTTAACCCAACCGTTTATCAAACAAACCTTCATCAAAGCGTTCATTTTCTGAATCAAGCAATAAACGAATCCTAACCCTTCTTCCTAACGTAAACCTTTCTGCTAGTGCTCTGAATTTAGAATCATAAACCCTCCAATAACCCTTACGCTAATTGTGTGTAAAACTTGGTAGGTGTAACCTCAATGACACAACCTCATTGCCAAAACTGCAACTGAATTCTAGAATTAGAGTTTTAAAATACGGCTTGCAATAAAAATTGACTTAGCATCTCACACCAAATACAACTATATCAATAAATCATTCAATTTCAGTTGTATTCAAACCATGTATATTTTTTAATTCATGCTAGTGATAACCAAGGCATAGATCAATGAATGAGTCAGGAGAAAGGCAAATGAGGTATACAATTTAACAAACAACTGAAGTGTCACCAAGAAATGAAAGAAAACAAAAGAAAACAAAAATTAGCCGTTTTAAGAGTAAGAAAATTTAAACTTAGATATTAGTTGTATATTTTTATTCACTAGAGCAGATACCGCAGATCAAATTTTATTTGTATTGGTTGAATATGCTTACTTTCGTATGTTATAAAATTGAAAACCTTAAAATAGGTGCAATGCACCAAGTCAGTTTCCAAGTGCGGTTTCTTCGAAAATTTGTTTTTAAAAAAGCCGTAGGCCTATCCTCTTTGAGTGATCCGCGTTTGCAATTTCCCGGGTTTGCAACATTGCTAATGTTGCTAGCATCGTGGCTTTTGGCGTGAATCCTTGGCTACATGGCATATACTGGTTTATGGCTTCTGACTAGCGCCCCTTGAACAAAGAGATTGACAAAAAGGGAACCACCAACACAGGGCTGGATAGATCAGGTGGTAGAGCACCGGAACGGCAATCTGGAGGTCGAAGGTTCAAACCCCTCTCCCGTCTTTGTTCAACCTTAAAATAAAATTGAAAAAGGATATTAATTCAAACCAAAAGCTTGCCTCACAAACCAAACGCTTGTTGACAACAGTAGTTCGTTCACCTAATATTAACGCGCCTTTAATCAAAAATTGATGCTTTGTTTGTATAGGCTTTAGCCTCAATGAAGCATCGCTCGTGAAGTCCAAACACTGAAATCTAATTGATTGGCCTACATAAAAGATCAGGCTAATATGACAGAGCAGGTCGTGGTCAAAATGCATCCATTATACAAAATAGGCATTGATGTATACGTTTCATTCTAAGAAAAGACGCAGATTCTGTGATAGATCGGACTCTGTGTGGTGATTCTTTAACTCACAATGACCACACTGTGAAGCTTTGTGCTGCATTCAATGGCCGGCATACTGAACTTCAATATGTGTAGGCTTAGTCAGAAGTGCATCCACCCTATTCATTGCAACCCGACCCCAATTCCAAGCTTTGCTTCCCCCGTTTGTTCGATAGTATCCCATTGAGGGGATTTCCGAAAGCTTCAAAACACTGGACGCAGTGGCAATCCCACGCACATTAATTGTAAATGCACTTGTCATCACGCGCCAAAGATTTTCCATTTGAAAACAGACCTTCAGAAGAAGCCTGGAGCATCGTGTTGCTTTTAATTAATTTCTCATCATTGTTTAACTTCGTTGCCATGCGAATGTCTCAGCGATGAAGACTCCTTTTTGTCGATTTATGATTTTATTATGTTTAGCTTCATTTAAAATTAAAATAAACTGGTGGAAACACAAGTAACTTCTTCGTATTCTGTTGCTTGACATTGTTTGTAAATAGGCTAATACCAATCAACCCTTCTCTCTCATTACTGCATTGTGATAACACGCTAATTATGGCGCCTGTGACAGGTGCACTGTGAAGAGTCTTAGTTGAGAGTT